TTGAGGCAGGCCAGGCGCAGCTTTTCCCCCGGCACCCCGCCCACCCTGCCGGGACGTGGGGAAAAGCGGGTGGCAAGGGTGTCTGTGTCCTGCTGCGTGGTTTTGGGTGGGGACACGAGGGCACAACTCTTCCCATGGCTACACCGAAGCCGGGGAGGTCACCGCAGTATTTCCCACCAGGACAGACAGCTGGCCACGGGACCCGGGATGGGGCGCTGGGGTGGTTCCCATGCAGGGTGGGACCGGCCCTAATCGGAGAAGGTCTGGGGCCACCACCATGTCCCGGACCAAGCAGGGGGAAACAGTGCCCTATTCTCTGCCTGCTCCTTCCCGGATCCTGCCTGAGCCCCTGCAAGCTCCCCATCCCTTTGAATCTACCGGCAGGATGTCTACATGCTTCTGCCGTGGCTTCATCGCTGGCTCTTAGACCCATATTTGGTAGCGATAATTGTTTACTCTCTTCTCTATCCCTGATCCTCGCTGCTTAGAAGGGGAGGGCACATATTTTTGGGATCTTTAGTTTTGCCAAAACCTGTGAGTTTCCCTGTAAAGGGTCCAGACCACCTGCCTCTCCCTAGGTCATGGGGTGAAACCCCCCTAAGTGTTAATTTGAATCTGTGATGATGCATGGGGAACACCAGCCAAACTACTCAGTTTGTTTGCTGAATGGCAGCGGCAGGAATCTGGTGCTTCCCAAAGTGACACATCCCATTAGATTTAGGGAAGGGGGAGTGGGAAGGCTGTATAAAGGGGAAGAGGGTCCTATGGGGTGCCCTTCTTTTCAGAACTGAGCTTTGCTGGCTGCTGAGTGAAATGACCCCAAAAAGCAGCCATGCAGTCTCCTCTCTTTCACTTTTCTGCCTGTCCAGAAACACAATGCTGAGCAAGTTGCTTGTTGTGGCAAGTGTGGGTGCCTGGATCAGGGCACCCAGTGCTTTCCAGAGGCCATGACAGCATCCACTGCACCTCAATCCCTGCTTTTGGGATCTTGTGCTAGAGGGCCAGCTTGCTAAGAGTGTAGGAGAGGCTGTGGCTGGAGTCCCTCTGGCCCCCATGCCTGCCTTTGTCATGGGCAGTCTAGAGGTGCCATGATTTGTGCTCCCTGCCTTTGGAGGTCAGGAGATGCCCAGCAGGAGCAGACAGGATGAGAGATGTGTGTGAAATGGGGGGAGTTAATGGTCAGAGCTCTTCAGCTTGGTGCCTGTGAGCAGGCAGGCAGGCAGGCTGTGGCTGTGATCCTCCAGATCCTATGCAGAGCAGGGCTGCCCTCCCTGCAGGAGTGAGAGAATGCTCCTGTCCTAGCCATGGGTAACAGTGGAGTGGTCACAGGGATGCTGCGTCTAGCCTTGACAGCCAGTCATGCTCTCCAGGAGCAAGCCCAGCCTTAGCTGGAAGAAACTGTCATCCCATCTGACGTGGACATGCAGCTGGGAAAGAGGAACTGGGCTGAATGGTCTCAGCAGTGTGTGACACTAAACCAGCTGAGAC